GGATACTTTGGGGTTTATTTACTAAAGCTGGAGAGTCCAAAATCAGACTCCCTTCTGCATAGAAACCAATCAGCTTCCAGGTTTCATTGCCAAAGCTTCATTGAACAAGCTGAGGTTAGAAGCTGATTGGTTTCTATGCAGAAGGGAGTCTGATTTTGGACTCTCCAGCTTTAGTAAATAAACCCCTGTATGTCTGACCGTTGCAGTGTGTTTTAATGTGCCCAATTTCCATGTTAACTTGTGGATGGGCGATCAGGGAACAGTAAAACAGTGGTTCGACTGTCTATATATATTGCCCCCCCAGCCACCCTGTTAGGATTTAATCTGTTAATAGAGGTTTGCCTGGTGGTAGGCTTTAACCATTTCAAGTCCAGACACTTTCACCCCCTTCAAGTCCAGGCCAATTTTCAGCTTTCAGGACTCTCGCACTTTGAGTGACAATTACTCAGTCATGCAACACTGTACCCATATGACATTTTCATAATTTTTTGAGACAGGTAGAGCTTCCTTTTGGTGGTATTTAATCACCAATGGGTCTTTGTTTTTTGTTATATAAATGAAAAAAAACAAAATTTTTATGTTTAGTTTTCGTTATGAAATGTTGTAAATAAATAATCTTTCTTCAAAATATAGGCCAAAATGTATTCTGCTACATTTTTATGGTAAAAATAACCCAAATCAGTGTATAAAATTTAGTCTGCGTGAAATATAGATAGGATCTACAAACTATGGAATATATATTTGAAAATTGATCAGTTGAGACCCTAAATGGCAGGACGCTGGTATGAGGTATGGTGGTGATCAGTACGTTGGTATGGCAGTGATCAGGATGCTGGTATAGGGTATGGCAGTGATCAGGACACTGGTATGGCAGTGATCAGGACACTGGTATGGGGTATGGTTGGTGATCAGGAAGCTGGTATAGGTTATGGGAGTGATCAGGATGCTGGTATGGGGTATGGCGGTTATCAGGATGCTGGTATGGGGTATGGTGGTGATTAGGAAGCTGGTATGGGTTATGGGAGTGATCAGGATGCTGGTATAGGGCATGGCGGTGATCAGGATGCTGGTATGGGGTATGGTGGGGATCAGGATGCTGGCATGGGGTATGGTGGTGATCATAAAGCTGGTATGGGGTACGGTGGCGATCAGGATGCTGGTATGGGGTATGGTGCTAATCAGGGTGCTTGTATGGTGGATGGCAGTGATCATGGCGCTGGTATGGGGTATGGTGGTGATCAGGAAGCTGCTATGGGGTATGGCGGTGATCAGGACGCAGGTATGTTGGTGATCAGGATGCTGGTATAGGGTATGGTGCTAATCAGGGTGCTTGTATGGTGGATGGCAGTGATCATGGCGCTGGTATGGGGTATGGTGGTGATCAGGAAGCTGCTATGGGGTATGGCGGTGATCAGGACGCAGGTATGTTGGTGATCAGGATGCTGGTATAGGGTATGGCGGTGATCAGGACACTGGTATGGCAGTGATCAGGACACTGGTATGGGGTATGGCGGTGATCAAGATGCTGGTATGGGGTACGGTGGTGATCAGGAAGCTGGTATGGGGTATGGCGGTGATCAGGATGCTGGTATAGGGTATGGCAGTGATCAGAACGCTGGTATGGGGTATGGCGGTGATCAGGTTGCTGGTATAGGGTATGGCGGTGATCAGGACGCTGGTATAGGGTATGGCGGTGATCAGGACGCTGGTATGGGGTATGGCGGTGATCAAGACGCTGGTATGGGGTATGGAGGTGATCAGGACGCTGGTATGGGATATGGCAGTGATCAGGATGCTGGTATGACAGTGATCAGGACACTGGTATGGGGTATGGTGGTGATCAGGATGCTGGTATGGGGTATGGTGGTAATCAGAAAGCTGGTATGGGGTATGGTGGTGATCAGGATGCTGATATGGGGTACGGTGGTGATCAGGATGCTGATATGGGGTACGGTGGTGATCAGGAAGCTGGTATGGGGTATGGTGGTGATCAGGATGCTGCTATGGGATATGGCAGTGATCAGGATGCCAGTATAGGATATGGCAGTGATCAGGACGCTGGTATGGGGTATGGCGGTGATCAAGACGCCAGTATAGGGTATGGCGGTGATCAGGACGCTGGTATGGGGTATGGTGGTGATCAGGACGCCGGTATGGGGTGGGCGGTGATCAGGACGCTGGTATGGGGTATGGTGGTGATCAGGATGCTGATATGGGGTACGGCGGTGATCAGGGCGCTGGTATGGGGTATGGTGGTGATCAGGATGCTGATATGGGGTACGGTGGTGATCAGGATGCTGGTATGGGGTACGGTGGTGATCAGGATGCTGGTATGGGGTACGGTGGTGATCAGGATGCTGGTATGGGGTACGGTGGTGATCAGGATGCTGGTATGGGGTATGGTGGTGATCAGGATGTTGGTAAGAGGCATAGTGGTGATCCTGCGCTGATATGGGGTATGGCAGTATGGCGGCGTTATTGTGAGCACTGGGACAGGTGATGGCTGCAATGTTTATTTATCACTACACTAGGGGCAGTGAACAGGGAAACTAGGGTGGCTGGCACTGCAGTTTGTGAGTGTACATGCACTGTGACAGTCTGTTGTACACTTACAAGCTGCAGCAACAGTTCTCTTTGCTCTCACAGCCAATCTGTGTGAACGCAGGGAGAACCAGTTTGGTTTCACCATGTGATCTCCTGGACACAGCAGAGTGTAAAGTCCGGGTGACACACGGATCACTAAGCTCTTAGGTGCGCGCTCTGCGCTGGAGCTGCCATCCGCCATTTGTGGGTGGACGGGAAGCCATCAAAGTACATCTCAACTCAATCACTAAAACCTCACCTCCGCCCACATCAATTGTAACCAGTGCAAGCAAATACTTTTCTTATCAAGCACCTGAAGTTTCATTGCCAAAAGCTCCTTTTTAAAAGAAAAAGCCCAGTATTTCAGTGCTAAGAACCACAGATTTGAGAAATAAGTAAAAAAGAGACTTTTGGGCCAGCGTTAGGTTGTAATGCCTAGACTGCCAACCTTGAGATATGACTGCCAGTCAGTGTCGCTCTGGTGCTCCTGACACCACTTGGACTATATGTCAACTGACAGTGAAGTTCTCATATGTAGATGAGTCCTGTGCTTCATCCCTCTGGGGCTCTGCTGGCCATCCACCTCATTAGTGAACAGAGAGCCAGGGGCAGGCTATAGTGTCAAGGCATTCAGCATCTAGTAATCGAACTGTCAGTAAGAAGAGAAGGCAGGAGAGAAGAACTTTCAGCAAGGCTTCCAGGAAGATCACTTACATGTGCCCACTCCAATTTGAATCTAAAGGCCTGCTGGAGGCAAAGGAATCACTATGGCCCATTTCCAATTACAGCCAAAAATATTAATTCATGCGTAGAACTGGCTACCCGTACTTCATGCAGTGTAGAATTTTAACATTCTTTACAAGAAGCCAACTTGATGTCTGTATGCTTGAATATGGAATAAGCAAATTTAACGTAGATCTCCTCCTTAACTGGCATTTAGTTTGTTCAAATTACTGTGTTTCATTAACATATGCAACATTTTTTTATTTGTGTTTTTCAACTTTTTTTGGACAATCAACGTCTACACACTCTATGGTAATTGGATTACGGTGACTTAAAGCATAGTTCTACCCAAAAGTGGAAGCTCCACTTGTTTACTTCCTCCCCCCCTCCACTGCAATATTTGGCACTTTTTTGGGGGGAGCGGATACCTGGTTTTAACAGGTACCCGCTCCCACTTCCGGCTCAGTTCGTCGTAGCGAAGTGAGCTGGAAGTTCGGCCCCGTGTTTGGGACATTTCCCAGGTCCCAGAAGACTGCCGGACCAAGCAGGATGCGCAGCACAACTCACGCATGCACAGTAGGAAATCGACTGTGAAGCCACAAGAAGTCACAGCCTGGTGCCCACAGATGAGAGGAGAGAGGGAGAGAAGGATGGCGCAGGTGAGCACATTGCTGGACCCTGGAACAGGTGAGTGTGTGTTTTTTTACAATTTTTGTAGCTGCTGACTTTTAATAAAATAAAAATAACTGGAACTGAACTTTAAGATGTGGATATAAATACTGGGTAATCTTCCCGACACAAATTGGAACTGAAGAAGTGGCTTGGTAAGCTACAAAAAGTCTTCCACATTACTGAAATCCAGCTGAATGTGACCAACTACTACTAGATATACAGTATCATGACCTGGATAAATGAGAACCCTCAAAGACAGTGGGGGTGATTTACTAAAGCTGGACAGTGCAAAATCTGGTGCAGCTCTGAATAGAAACCAATCAGCTTCCAGGTTATACTGCCAAAGCTTAACTGAACAAACTGAAGTTAGAACCTGATTGGCTACCATCAGGGGCGGACTGACCATTTGGAAACTCGGGCACTGCCCGAGGGCCCGGGGTCAGTAGGGGTCCCCATCAGATGCCCCTGGTACCTTTTTCATAGGCTTTTTTGAGTTTGGGCAAGGACACAGGGGCCCCATGATCCCCTATTGCCCGGGGCCCCATGAGTTGTCAGTCCGCCCCTGGCTACCATGCACAGCTGCACCAGATTCTGAGTGCACCAGTTTTAGTAAATCCACCCCACTGTTTTTCATCTTCTTTCAACCCCTTCTGCATATTTGGGTTGCCAAACTCTTCCAACCTCTTTGTGGCAATTTTTGATCTACATGTGTCCAGTGGCCATTGCACATCATTGCTCAGGACTAGTGTCTTAATGGTAACAATGGTCCAACATGACTTCATAAAGTTTTTTTGGCATGGCTAATATAGTTGCTGTGTGTGAGACAGGGTGACAACACTGAAGAGCAATTGAAAGACTGTGACAAAGCTTTGTTACTCGATAACAGGAAGTACATGAAAAGCTACCATCACTAGATATTAAAGTGTTACTAAACCCACAACAGTAAAACCAGTCTGTAAAGCATGCTTGTTATAATCACTGTGGAAGCTAAGGGGTTAATCTTCTGTATTGTGTAAAAAGGCTGTTTGATCCTGACTTCTTTGCCCCTCCTCTTGTTCAAATGTCCACGCTGATAAGACAGACTGAGCCCATAGCCCTTCTGCACATGCTCAGTTTAGTGTGTATTAATAGAGAGGTTTTTTTTTACTTGGAAGAGTGCATATGATCAGCACAGGGCCAATTAGCACTGTCCAGACAGAGGTAAGGGGTTCTGCATCCCTCTAAAGCAGAAAGAAATCTCCTCCTACAACCTTTAACCAGTGCTCAGCTGGACACTGATAGAAGTCACAAGACTGCTCTAACTGCTGATGAGAAAAGGTATTTAGCAGTTTATATTTACTAAAATAATTGCATTTCCATGTTCTGTGTACTGTGGGAGACCATATATAGTGAATGCAGGGTCCGGGGAGACCATATATAGTGGGTCCGGTGATGCAGGGTCTGGGGTGTAGTAACACTTTAATATAATGAACATATTTAACACATACTGTATTTAAAAAGACAAAATGTATTTATTTTTTTATTTTCATATCTGTTTGCATTTCAGGGCTTTGAATCTCTTCCAGCCTCTTTGTAGCCATTTGTGGTCTACATGCCTACCTTCCATTGCCGGTTGCACGTCATTGATCACAACTGGTTTCCTGATGCTGACAATGGTGAGCATGTCTTCACAACGTGTGCTGGCCTTGCTGATTTAGTCTCTGTTGGGAGTGTGTGGGACAGGGTGACAATACTGGAGAGTATTTGGGAGACAGGAACAAAGCAGTAGTAAAGCTTTTTTATTTATACCTGCTGGTAAGCCTATAATAAGGATTACCTGTAGATACAGTAAATATCTCTTAAACATGCACTGTTTGGGAGATATCTACTTTAGTAGCAGCCGATGATGTCACCGCCGCCATGCGCACTGTGCTGTCATTGCATGGTATGACGTCCATTGAGAGAGCTGTATCGCAGCCATGACTCCCCCATGCATGCGTGGGAGTGACATCATTGAGGTTCAGCCATTCAAAAGGGTGGAGCCCGCAAACCCAGAAGAAAGACAGGTGAAGATGGTAGGCCTGTCAGTGGTGACAGCTTGCTGCTGGAGGGCTTTGTTTTAAAGTGGTTGTACATGAAATATAAACAAAGCATATCCCTCTATAGTGTGGATTTGTCTCAATTAAAAGCACCAAGTGTTATTTCTGACTACTGCTTTGTTTCTTTGCTATTAGCATGGGTCACTTCTGACAAGTTTTTCTGACACCAAGAGAAAAATAGTGACAGGGGAGGGACCTCAAGCAGATTGACAGCTCTGTTCCTGTGAGCTGTGTGGAGGCGGGGTGCATCCAGGGCTGGTGCTAGACTATTTTGTGCCCTACGCAAGACCTACTAGTGCCCCACCCCAAAAAACAATAATTTTAAAAACTGTAAAAAATATTAAATCAACTAAACATGAAACTGCTAAATTTCTTTTAATGTGAAAAAATAAGTGGCATAAGATGCCGTCAGCAAAATCAGTGTCACGTATGGACTGTATCTGTGCCTGGCAGTGGCAGGGTAACAGTTGCAGTGAGTGAAGGATGATGGATCCACACTTTGACAGATCCCAGGCTGGAATTCCCCAGGCAATGGAAAATTGAGAGAACACCTGAACTAAGCGATCCCACACAGTGACACCACCACCAACACTAACACAGATCGTGATCAGGAGCGGACTAACAACTCATGGGGCCCCCGGGCAATAGGGGATCATGGGGCCCCTGTGTCCTTGCCCAAACTCAAAAAAGCCTATGAAAAAGGTACCAGGGGCATCTCATGGGGCCCCCTACTGACCCCGGGCCCTCGGGCAGTGCCCGAGTTTCCAAATGGTCAGTCCGCCCCTGATCGTGATGTCATCACTCACTGACACTTTGCACATTTGATAGATAACCAGCCGCCCGGGTCACACTCACACAGACAGGAGACATCAGAGTCAGACATTACCTTCCTCCGCAGGCACAGCTCTGCCTTTGCTGATGAATGTGAAGAGAAGGGCTGAAACTCCACAGTGATCAGCAGCCGCCAGCCGGCTTGCAGTAAGAGACTGAGTCTGAGAGGAACACTGGAAGGAGAGACAGCTCAGCTGCTACACTGGCCCCAGACACCCGGCATCTTCCTCTGTTCTTTCTTCCTCCCCTCTGTGTCCCCTCCTTCAGCTGAAGGATCAATCATGACGTAGAGGCGGCCTACACAGAGAGAATACCGGCCTGTGCTGCAACCAGGTAGTAGTGCACCCTAGGTGGCCACCTAGTTTGCCTAGTGCAGTGGTGGGCAACCTTTTTTTTCAACTGAGCCAAATCTCGCCAAAACCACGATTGAAATTTATTTTGAGAGCCACATTTTTAAAACTGAAAATACATAGGATGGTACACTGTTTTTAGTTTCAATAAGTTTTTATAGTAATTCATCCCCCATAGTAATTCATCCCCCATATAGTAATTCATCCCCCATAGTAATTCCTCCCCCATATAGTAATTCATCCCCCATATAGTAATTCATCCCCCATAGTAATTCATCCCCCATATAGTAATTCATCCCCCATAGTAATTCATCCCCCATATAGTAATTCATCCCCCATAGTAATTCATCCCCCATAGTAATTCATCCCCCATATAGTAATTCATCCCCCATAGTAATTCATCCCCCATATAGTAATTCATCCCCCATAGTAATTCATCCCCCATATAGTAATTCATCCCCCATATAGTAATTCATCCCCCATAGTAATTCATCCCCCATAGTAATTCATCCCCCATATAGTAATTCATCCCCCATATAGTAATTCATCCCCCATAGTAATTCATACCCCATAGTAATTCATATAGTAATTCATACCCCATAGTAATTCATCCCCCATATAGTAATTCATCCCCCATAGTAATTCATCCCCCATATAGTAATTCATCCCCCATATAGTAATTCATCCCCCATAGAGTAATTCATCCCCCATATAGTAATTCATCCCCCATAGTAATTCATCCCCCATATAGTAATTCATACCCCATAGTAATTCATCCCCCATAGTAATTCATCCCCCATATATAGTAATTCATCCCCCATATAGTAATTCATCCCCCATAGTAATTCATCCCCCATATAGTAATTCATCCCCCATATAGTAATTCATCCCCCATAGTAGTAATTCATCCCCCATATAGTAATTCATCCCCCATAGTAATTCATCCCCCATAGTAATTCATCCCCCATATAGTAATTCATCCCCCATATAGTAATTCATCCCCCATAGTAATTCATCCCCCATATAGTAATTCATCCCCCATATAGTAATTCATCCCCCATATAGTAATTCATCCCCCATATAGTAATTCATCCCCCATATAGTAATTTCATCCCCCATAGTAATTCATCCCCCAGTAATTCATCCCCCATATAGTAATTCATCCCCCATATAGTAATTCATCCCCCATATTAATTCATCTCCCATATAGTAATTCATCCCCCATATAGTAATTCATCCCCCATATAGTAATTCATCCCCCATATTAATTCATCCCTCATATAGTAGTAGTAAGTAAGTAGTAGCAAGTAGTAAGCAAAGTCCCTCCTGTGTCTATTCACTTACCTTTGCTCCGTGCGTTCCTCTCGCCGTGTTCCCCGCGCCGTTCCGGTCTTCAGGGCGGACTGTGAGAGGAGCCTAGCTCCCCTCACGTTCGTCACGCTGCCCCGCCTACACACATCCTGACAGCCAATCACTAGCTATCAGGATGTGAGTGGCAGCGAGACTGGCCAATCATTTCTGGGCTAGCTGCAGAGTCCTCGGCTGCCCAAGAGGAGGGAGGGGAGCGGGCGCCCGGCACACAGAAGAACCGCATTAAAATGTGTAAAGAGCCGCATGTGGCTCGCGAGCCGTGGCTTGCCGACCACTGGCCTAGTGGAAGCACCGGCCCTGGGTGTGTCCCTTCCCTCCAATGAGCTCACAGAGCTCTCCTCACTGAGCTCTGCAGAGTGTAATTTCAATGTCTCCGTCCCTTTTTTTTCTGAACTCGCAGATAACCTTGTAAATTCAGCACTTTGAACGGCTGTAGAGAAGAGAAACGGCAGATAAACAGGTACAACTTATGTATGTGCCGTACATTTTACCAGACAGAAAGTAAAGAAAACAGTAACAACGAGAAGTTGGGGAAGGCTAGAACTCCTGTTAGCATTTTAATAGCTCTACATTCATGTAAGTTGTTACTGGAACAGAAAGTTAAGGAGTATCTCTCCAATGGGGCCCCAGATAGCAGTAAAAATTAATTAGGGGTTCTAATCCTCCCCCACTCTATCCAAAACCAAAAAAAAGTTTTAATTGTTACATTGTTAAGAACCCCATGCATTGATGTGAACCTAGCTGGCCTGCCTTTATGCCCACTCAGGCAAGGATACCTATTTGTGGACGTATACTGTTATGTACAAGGTTATGGCATATGTGCTACAAAAGCCAGTATGAGTGAAACAGACCATTTCATGGCTACAAATTATTCTCTTTACATTATGCAAGCAATGTTTGAGATTTGATGGGATATTTAAAGTGCCAAATTTCGTACTTACATTTTTCAACCCAATCATTATTTAAATATATGTAATTTTGTGTTGAATGAATACATGTGAAGGTTAACACTTGTTCTGTTATATATAGAAACTTGTAATTCTACTTCATTGGTGCTGTAACTATTTTACTTATCTTCTAGTATGGTAAAAGTGTTATAGTTGATCTGCGGAAAGGGTCCATCACAAGAAACTGCACCACCAACCCCCCCCCCCTATTATCTAGTACCCCAATTAGATAAAAAAAATAACCAAATGTCCAATTTATTGGAATCCATGGCTATTCTGAATCCTGAGTTTTCTCTCTTATGCACTGCAGATTGGGAAGGACTGTCCTTGTAACGGACCACCTGACAGCACCTCTATCAGTCTCCCGGTAGAGCCTTCCCAGAGTGCGGAGTCTAAGCACCGGAGCACTTGTTCACCAGGGCCCCTGATGGTGGGGATGGACTTGGAGCACTCCGGTACCAGTTATCACAGGGGTAGAGGAGTCTGACAGGGGCTCCAGGGAACTAGGAGTCTGATGTAAGGGAGCCTAGTGATTCCTGCGGGGTGGGTGAATGGATGAGCTAAATCAGAGTCATGCAGGCAGGGTCGGCAACTGGCGGATCGGTAAGGTACAAAACAGTAGGCAAAGGATAGTCGGGTCACACGCAGGGTCAATACCAGGAGGTCAGATCTAAACGGGAACATCCAGGAGCAGAGTCAGGCAAGCCAAGGGGTCAGGACGGGAGAAGGCAACAAGGTCAAAACAATCCAGATCAGAAGTACTCA